TCAGGTCACAGATAAGGAATAGAGAAACGCTACATCCACCTTGATGAAAAGCTCATCTGTGAGCACCCGGAGATCATTGACAAACACATGCCCTCCCTTGAAACTCGCGTAGACATCGTCACCACTGAGATCCCGAAGCTTGCCGAGTCCGCCGCACGTAAGGCCATCGCCAAGTGGGGCCGTCCAGCCACTGACATTACCCACCTCATCTTCAGCACCTATTCCGGGTGCAATGCTCCAAGCGCTGACCTCAAGCTGGCATCACTACTCGGCCTCAACCCTTCAGTCTCTTGCACCATCCTCAGCCTCCACGGTTGCTCTGGAGGCGGTAGGGCACTCCAACTTGCCAAGGAGCTCGCCGAGAACAACCGTGAGGCACGCGTTCCTGTAGCCTGCGCCGAGCTGACGCTAATATGCTTCTCAAACCCAGATGAAAGAAAAATCGTCGGTCATGGACTGTTTGGGGATGGTGCCGGAGCAATCATTGTCGGCACTGGCCCATTGGTCAATGCAGAGCGTCCACTATTCGAGATGATCGTTGCCTCGCAAACAACGATACCAGGTTATGAGCAAGCACTTGGCATGCAGACCACCGGTAGCGGCATAGATTTCCACCTCTCTATCCAGGTGCCAACACTGATCAAGAACAACATCCGACAGTGCTTGCTTGACACATTCCAATCGGTTGGAAACGTGGATCCTAATTGAAATGACCTCTTCTGGGCAGTGCACCCTGGTGGCCGTGCGATCCTTGACAACATAGAAGGCGAGCTTCAGCTGCAGCCAGCAAAGCTTGCGGCAAGCCGCCATGTGTTGAGTGAGTATGGGAATATGAGTGGCACGACGATAGCGTTCGTTCTTGATGACTTGCGTCGCCGTCGGGAGAAGGAAGGAGATGAGCATCAACAACCTGAGTGGGGAGTAATGCTAGCCTTTGGACCGGGAATCACAATAGAGGCAATGGTGCTACGTAACCCACTCTCATGAAGTCTTAAGGAGAATTAATTGTCACTATCTTATACTTCTCCAGTATCTTATTACAGTATATGGTAATTAATTAATGCATGACACTAAATCAATTGTTCATGCTTCAGTGGGATTATGACCTACTTGGTGATGTATTGATGTTGTGGAGTTCCTATATAATGTTTGTGAAGATATTTGAGTTGTCAATTGCTCAACTCTAGTACATGTTGTAATTAAACTCTTTATTTCTTTCATATGCCCTCTGATTGTTAAGTTTTTTTTTTGTTTTGTAATAAAATTTGTAATACCTTGTGTATAATTAAAACACCATATTGCTTATATGGTTTGCTTCAATCATTTTGATCAATTGAGAGTATTTTTAAAGAAAACATTTGAATAAGATGAAGTCAACACTGTAAGAAAATGATATTTTACAAGTGAAAAACTGTTCAAAAACAAGATAAAAAGAGGCAATCAATATCAACTTAATATTTACTAATTAAGATTATTTTTCTTCTCGAATATGCATGAGAGTTATGTAGCATTGCATTAATGGAAGAACGGAGGAATACGATGCAAATACAAAGATTCAGAAAACACGAAAAGAGAGAAAACATAACACGAGCAAAAGAAGAACAAAGTGCCTCACCAAGGTTCTCCTACCAACCTGAATCACAGGCCTTCTTAACTGGGATCCATAATCAACGGAAGTCCCTATGGCCCCGCCTAAACTCCATAGGTGAGCCTCGTCACTCGCAAGAACTACTCAAGCCAAAATGCTTGAGGCAGCCTCGTTGAAAACATAATTGTTTTGATGCTTCCAAATAGTCCATGCACCAAGAATGATCAGATTATTTATACCCTTCCTTATAGCCCCTTTTACCAAATTGTTGGCCCTGCTCCACCTATCGGAGAAGTGGGAACAGGGGTTCCCTTTCCCCCAAGGTGCTCGGGGCGCTATGCGCCCCACCAAGCCTTACAAGATCTACATCTTTAAGGTTTCAAGAAGAGTATGGAGACCTACAATATCTACATCTTCAAGGTGCAGAAGCAGGCACTGGTGTGTACTAGTGTCTCGTCGAAAGTCATGCCCATCATGAACTCCTTATTTATCAATATTTTTGAGAAGCTCATCTAATATACCAACGAAATATACTTTCGGCAATGCAAATGCGCCCGAATATGTAGGGTTGCCCCGAGGACTTGGCCTGCCTTGAGGACAAGGGGTGACCCAAACATGGCGGCCAACCGGTGACAAGATTGTAATCCCTCAAGAACCCGAGGACTCCCCGCTCAATCAATGGAGAGGTTCACCACATTAAGGAAAGCTACTCGGGTCCAGAAATCACATTTAAACCACCACTTTACATTAATTATGATGGTCCTATTGATCTAAAGTGCTGTCATCCACAAGCGACTTATGAGATTGATCTCATCGGGAGTGGATCGGGCAATATGGAACTCGGATTATTGGTTCTGTGAGCTTCAGGAATATCACGAATTCGGCTCTGGCTTCCTCCAGATTGTTTCTCAATGTGGATTTGTCTACGGCTTCTCAATGTGGCCCTCCTTGAACACAGTGGCCATGTGACGGGCTATAGTTTAGGCCCGTTAGAGATGAGAGTCATCCGTGACGGGCTTTTGTGTTGGCCCAATTGAGATGCGTCATCCGTGATGGCCGGATGCCTGATTGAGATATTTTCTCACATCACGGACCTTTGCTTAGTGACGAGGGCCCTGCCCGAAAGAGATGATGATTTAAGCCCGTTAGAGATAGCCGATCCCGTTCTAGTGATTTTATGTGGAGTACAATGATGCAAATAAATATTAAAAATAATATGTAATTTAAAATATATAAGTCATTAAAGGGTTAAAAAAGACATACACCATATGCTAAAGAGGATTTATATATGGGATAGAGTGGTCTCCGGTTAGAACTAAAGCACTATAGTGCACTATCTAGTCACGTCCTATCCTAAATGGTAAAAAAAAGTGACAGAACTTCTTATTTTGGGGCATCTGAATTAGACACTTCCAAAAAATTAATTAGGAAAACTAGAGGCACCCCTGAAGGTCGTGCCAGCCGAACTTGCCACTCTCCATGATCACCGTTCCTTTGAGATGCATGAGGCCACCTTAGGAAAGGGATGTTTAGCTCATTTAATTGTCATGGCATGATGATTATATGTGTCTATGTCCTCCTATTCTGCATTTAATCACTCAAGATCCACAATGTTACCAGACTTAACACATCTCGGGCGCGATTTGATCCATGTTACTTAATTTATTTATTGGGTCATTGATTCTCATGATCACTTATGATCGATTATGAGACGCGGGGTGATTGTGCAAAGCAGATAATTATTTTAAGAATGTATAAATTACATTAATTTTGGACTAAGTACATTAATAGCTTCACGATCAAAAACTAAATATGAAAATATGCTCTATGATTCAGTCGACCGATCTCGCGTTATACATAGTGATATGTAATCTCCAGAGAAATTGGGGTCGGTATATGTATTCTAGAATTAGATATTATTTAATGGCATATTCTAATTTAAAAACTATCGTGCAAATCGGGACACTTTTGAGCAGGCTGGGATATTTTCTTGTAAAATCCAAATACAGAAAAATAATTAGTACGAATTACATACCAATGCCATGCGCTGCAGGTGCAATTGAAATATCATGATATGGCAATATCGGCCACGTTGCAGCGTCTTCTAATATAATAAGTGTTTATTGCCTACTTTGCACGATCTTGGAGCTAATCACACGAAGTGGACAACAAGTTCGTCGTCCAGATACCACATTAGCTGCTTTGTTATCTTTCTTTGTGTGCATCGCATGGCAGATCTCGAGACAATAATCGTCTTCTTAAATAAATCTATACGAGTATCATGAAAGTACATTAACCATTATATTACTTATATTTTTCATATTTACATTAAAACTTTTCATAAGACAAATGATCAAGCATAATATTAAAAATTAACAGCATTATATTAACATTTCAAAACAGAGTGAGTGAGTAGTTTGGAACGCACATAAGTAACTAGTATTAATTTTAAACAACTATTAATTTTAAACTTTGAAAATTATTATAGAACCGGCGAAACAAGATAGTATTAGTAAAATTAAAGGCATAGTATCACTTTTTGGGTTATCCATCTTACAGTACATTGCTGATACAATTGTTTTTTTACCGCCACTTTGAAAAGGCAATTAATATTTATCTAAATCTTTGGAGAATTATCAAAACTAAAAAGATCAATATTCAAGTAAGACATTAATATGTTTCGGTAAAGCAACGCCAGTAACAGACACGGGACTTCAAGACTAGATATTCACTCAACAAATACTGATAAAATTCAATAGAACAGAACAAAATAATGTCAGAAGTAGATTCTGAGAAAAAAGACTGAGAATAAAATATTAGACCCAATTAAGCATACACATATATAATGTAAATGCATATATTGAATTATTTTCAGTGAACTTTTGAGTGTCTGCTCCAGAAGCAAAGGACCAGGAACAACAATACCAACAGCATTTTGACCATAAGATGGGTAGATATGTTGGCATTCCTACACATTTATGTAAACTCTATAATTCAAATGACCAGGAACAATACCAGGAGCATTTTGACTGTAAGATAGATATATATGTTAGCAATCTTCACATTTTCTGTAAACTCTACAACGCAAACTAGAAATGGGTCGAGGCCAGTTCAGAATTACAAAATTAGTACCTGCACTAAAATATATATTTCTCCAAAAACGATTTGGACAAGTCATACAAAAATTTAATTTTATGATCAAATGTGATTTTGTTCAGATTTAAGCATGATATTCTGCTTGTAAGTTATATGATATTATATGGAGCATGTTTTGATTTTTTTTAAATATTCTTTTAAGTCATTTACTAATGCAAACATAGTTGGGGGCTAGCTTGCGCCAGGTTGTCGAAAAACTAGTATAAAGCCACACAGCCAGAAGCTAGAATATCCATCCATAAACACATCATACAGCCATCTCCTTCAACTAGTTGCAAAAGCACACGTTCTTCCAGTTCCATCAGCCATGCCTGGAACAGCTACTGCCGCTGTTGTTGACAGCCGCCCGTGCACACAGCACGCGGAAGGCCCTGCTGCGGTCCTCGCCATCGGCACTGCAAACCCCACAAATATCGTCTATCAAGATGGGTTTACCGACTACTACTTCGGTCTAACCGAGAGCGAGCATCTTACTGAGCTGAAGGACAAAATGAAGAGAATATGTAAGCAGATCGATCCTTCCACTTTGATCGTTGCACTGATCATCATTTTCACTAGTTATTTTTTCATAAACTCTGATGAGAATAAGTTATGCAAGCGCTTAAATTTTCAGGACACTCCTGCCATAGTTCATTATAAACCATACAAATATTTATACTATGTAGAAAGAAGAGTATAATGATGTTGGAGTTCAGTCAAATTTTATATACCTCGTGTGTCTGATGCAATGTGGATGCACGGGGTGACGTTGCATCCCAAAATTTTGGAAAAAAATCTACTATACACACAGTATATACTTGGCATATGTACGCAGTATGCTCAATACGAGGCCCACTTAAGGTCATCCATGACTATTGATCTGCTCCACTTGAATTTCTACGTTATTTATGTCATTGTATTTGTACTAGCTATTTATGTACTGTTTTGCTAGTATATTTTTTTCACTTTATCTGTTATCTTCAATCATAACACTAAAGTTTTGCATCCCATCTCAGAAATCCTGGATCCACCACTAATACCTCGTTAAATATGATAGTGTGTCATATACTGTCTCTCCTGCTCATCAGACTACCATCTCGCACCCATGCCTCTGTACTCATATAGATTTCAACAGTCTACGCTTTTAACAAAAATACAAGAGATCTACAGAGTAGTCATAGTAACAAATCCATGGATCTTAATAAATTTGTATAGAAAAATAGCACTCACATGTCTATATGTTGGCACCAGGAATTGAGTCTTAGTGGATAGAGTTATGTCCCCACGTTACGAGAAAATCATAAGATCATGTTTGAACAAAACATATGATGTGCTAATCCAATCTTTCAGAAAATTAAACACATGTTCATCTTCCTAAATATAGGACATATATAAACCAATTTTTTGTCTTGTTATGGAAAATGCTTGCAAAATCTCATATTTTTTTTGTATTTATTCGGCAACTTAATTGAAATATGTCCTATCATTCTTATAACCTCAGAGTGCTATGTACTAATTGTAAGAGATGTGGGTGCTTCCTTTTCCATTTCAGGTCACAGGTCAGGAATAGAGAAACGCTACATCCACCTTGATGAAAAGCTCATCCGTGAGCACCCGGAGATCATCGACAAACACATGCCCTCCCTTGAAACTCGTGTAGACATCGTCACCACTGAGATCCCAAAGCTCGCTGAGTCCGCCGCACGGAAGGCCATCGCCGAGTGGGGCCGTCCTGCCATTGATATTACCCACCTCATCTTCAGCACCTACTCCGGGTGCAGTGCTCCTAGCGCTGACCTCAAGCTGGCATCACTACTCGGGCTCAACCCTTCTGTCTCTCGCACCATCCTCAGCCTCCACGGTTGCTCTGGAGGCGGTAGGGCCCTCCAACTTGCCAAGGAGCTTGCCGAGAACAACCGCGATGCACGCGTTCTCATAGCCTGCGCCGAGCTGACGCTGATATGCTTCTCAAACCCAGATGAAAGCAAAATCGTCGGCCATGGACTATTTGGGGATGGTGCCGGAGCAATCATTGTCGGCGCTGACCCATTGGTCGATGGAGAACGCCCGCTGTTTGAGATGGTCCTTGCCTCGCAAACAACGATACCAGGTACTGAGCATGCACTTGGCATGCAGACCACCAGCAATGGCATAGATTTCCACCTCTCTATCCAGGTGCCGACGCTAATCAAGGACAACATCCGACAATGCTTGCTCAACACATTCCGATCGGTTGGAAACATGGATCCTAATTGGAATGACCTCTTCTGGGCGGTGCACCCTGGTGGCCGTGCAATCCTTGACAACATAGAAGGTGAGCTTCAGCTGCAACCAGCAAAGCTTGCGGCAAGCCGCCATGTGCTTAGCGAGTACGGGAATATGAGTGGCACGACGATCGCGTTTGTTCTTGATGAGTTGCGTTGTCGTCGGGAGAAGGAAGGAGATGAGCATCAACAACCTGAGTGGGGAGTAATGCTAGCCTTTGGACCAGGTATCACAATAGAGGCAATGGTGTTGCGTAACCCACTCTCATGAAGTCTTGATGAAAATTAATGGCCACAATCTTATGCTTCTCCGGTATTTTATTACAGTGTATGGTAACTAATTAATGCATGACAGTAAATCAATTGTTCATGCTTAAGTGGGATTATGTCCTAGCGGTGATGTATTGATGTTGTGGAGTTCCTTTCTAATGTTTGTGAAGATATTTGAGCTGTCAACTACTCAACTCTAGTACATGTTGTAAGTAAACTCTTTATTGCTTTCATATGCCCTCTGATTGTTAAGTTTTTTGGATTTGTAACAAAATTTGTAATACCCTATGTATAATTAAAACACCATATTGCTTATACGGTTTTCTTCAGCCCGAGGTTTGATCAATTGAGATGCATTTTTAAAGAAAATACTTGAATAAGATGAAGTCCGCACGGTAAGAAAATGGTATTTTGCATGTGAAAAACTGTTGAAAAATAAGATAAAAAGAGGCAATCAATATCAACTTAATATTTCCTAATTAAGATTATTTTTCTTCTAGAATATGCATGAGAGTTGTGTATCATTGTATTAATGGAAGACCGGAGGCGTAAGATGCAAATACAAAGAATCCGAAAACACAAAAGGAGAAAAAACAAAACACGAGCAAAAGAAGAACAAAGTGCCTCACCAAGGTTCTCCCAACAACCTGAATCATGAGCCTTCTTAATTGGGATCGATTATCAATGAAAGTCCCCTTGGCCTCGCCTAAACTCTATAGGAGGGCCTTCTCACTCACAAGAACTAGTCAAGCCAAATTGCTTGGGGCAGCCTCGTTGAACGCAATCGTTTCAATGCTTCCATATAGTCCATGCACCAAGAATGATCAGATTATTTATACATTTCCCTATAGCCACTTTTTACCAAATTGTTGGCCCAGCTCCACCTGTCGGAGAAGTGGAAACAAGGGTTCCCTTTCCCCCTAGGTGCTCATGGCGCTGTGGGCCCCACCAAGCACTACAAGATCTACACCTTCAAGGTTTCAAGAAGAATATGGAGACTTCAAAGTATATAAGCGGGCATTGGTGTGTACCAGTGTCTCGTCTAAAGTCATGCCTATCATGAACTCCTTCTTTATCGATATCTTCAAGAAGCTCGTCCAATATACCAACGAAATCTACTTTCGGCAATGGCACCGTGCCTGAGTGTGTAGGGGTGCCCCAAGGACTTGCCCACCCTATGGACACGGGGTGACCCGACACACGGCAGCCAACCGGTTACAAGCTTTTAATCCCTCAGGGCCCGAGGACGCTCCGTTCAATCAATGAAGAGGTTCACCCCATTAAGGACAGCTGCTCGGGTCTGATGCTCACATTTAAACCACCACTTTACATTAATTGTGAGGTGAACTCATACACAACTTGGGAGACGTGGTAGCACATGCAACCCCTTGCATGCCCACGTTACCCCGGAGAACACAAGGCGTGCGACATGGCGCGTCCACAGCAACCATCCCCAAGTTCCACCCCTGTTGGCTACGGTCGCTTATGGGTAGCCCGTGGACAATTGGAACGAAGACTTTTGATTCATCTCTCCACTTGTTAGTTGGTAGGCATGGCTTTCACATCTGGTCAGCTGGCTTGGAGGGACTACTACAAGACTAAGCATATTAAGTTTAGAGGAGTAGGCCCCACTCGTACATGCATGCAATGGCATTGTGGACTCCCCTTCATGTGTAAAATGAGGATCCGTGCCATAGAGAAAAGGGTTCACACTCTCATCTAAATTAGATTAGCCAAACATCCAGTGATCAAGTAACTTCTCCTCACACTTCTTCTTTTCCCGCATCACTTTGTGATTCCCTTCAACATCCATAGTCCACACACAGAAGTAAGGTATTATGCACCCGTGCGTCTTGAACCTATGTACTCGCTTGGAAATTTGGAGCAAAAGACTTTCACATCTCAATGTTCTAATCTCAAATTCAAACAATTCCATTGTAATGTTGGACAATCTAAAAGAACAAAAACCACTTTCCATTCAAAATGGAACTTCTGGCTAATCCTGAGAGAACACATCCTAAAGCTACTACACTATAGAAGTACATTTTGGAAAAAAAAAAGGTGTAGTATCATATGGGTGAAATTTGGAGACGATAATAAAAAAAATTCATGCTGCTACCACAAAAAGATATAGAAGTAACAAGATTTCTCACCTTCATCTCCATGATGGGATTGTGATTTCCTCACATGCAGACAAAGCACTTGCTTTCTTAGCACTTTTAAAAATAAAATGGGCACCTCAAAGCAAAATCAAATGATTAAGCAAAATCAAATCATTATCAATTTGCAGGAGTTATTTACACCTTAGGAGGGACTCTCTACCTGGCTTCTATGATGAAATGCTCGAAATCATCAATTCAATGCCTTGAGATAGAGATCATGGGCCTGATGGTTTCAATGGGATGTTCCTCGAAAAATGCTGGCAAATTATCTCTGATGATATCTATTCCTTGCAGATTCAGTTTTGTTTTGGCATTATATCTGTGGGCAGTCTTAATAGTTCACTAGATGAATACCACGCCGCGTTGCTGCGGAAAATTAAGTTACATAATATGTACAAATAAAATATATTTTTATTATCAAAACTAAAACAATTTGATACAATTTTGAGCCTAAAAATAATTGAGATTGCATGTTTTTATGAGAGATGAAAGACGAGACAATTTAGATCATAGATCTATCATCCAAATGCTAGAAATAATTGGGGTGATATGACTTAATGGGAGAAGAGAGAAATAGCATTAACTATACTTAGTGTGGAAGAACTATATAAGTATATAGGATTCGTCACTCTAATTCCTAAGAAGCCAACCCTGGAAACAACAAATGATTAGTTAAGATTCTTAAAAACTAGTTAAGCATATTAGATACATACAATATTATTAATATGTCATGATAATTACTAGCAAATAATGCAAAATTTATAAATAATATATATCACAGAACGTGCACAAACGAACTGGCTGATAGTGTTCAGCTACCAAGTTTAGTGACCACAAAATAGCAATATCATTATCGAAAATAAACACCGCCAGAGAAAGCATTTGTAACCCCGGTTTGTAACCCCTTTAGTCCTGGGTAGCAAACCGGGGCTACGAATCCGGGACTAAAGATCGCTGTCTTTAGTCCCGGTTCAAATACCTGGGACTAAAGGTTTTTTTTTTCTACTTTAATATTGATTTCAAACCGTCCTCATTCATAAAATCATCCACAAATTCAATAACAAAATCATCCACATTTACAAAAACATCACAAAATCATCCACAAATTTACATCACAAAATCATTCAAAAAAAACATCTAAAAATCATCCACTGTTCTTCTACTTTTTCTACTCCACGACGGCCGCGCTTGCCAACTACCCAGAGGGCACCACCGTGCTGCGGGAGCTCATCCAGAACTCCGACGACGCGGGAGTGTTCCACGTCCGCCTCTGCCTCGACCGCCGCATGCATGGCGCAGGCTACGCTGCCGCTGGCCGCCCTCCGCAATGGCAGGGCCCCCGCGCGGCCACGCCGCCACGCCCGCCGCCACCCCCGGCTCCGGTGCCGGGCGCCGCGCACCGCCACCGCCACCGGCTGCCCGCCCGCTGCCGATGTTAGGGTAGAGGGAAAGGGGAAGCCGGGAAGGGGAGGAGGGGAGGAAAAGATAGAGGATGTGAGGGAGAGAAAGAGATAGAAGAAGATAAGGATGAGAGGAGGAGGGAATCTCTGAAATTTTTCTCTCTCCCCCTCTCATGCGCGCCTTTTGTTTTCTCTAGCCCGCACACGATTTTTTTAATCTTTAGTCCCGGTTGTTGACACCAACCAGGACTAAAGATATTGGGGGGGGGCCTGACACGTCCTGACAATGAATGAACCGGGACTAAAGATGAAGATTAAAAATACCTTTGAACTTATAACCCGGGACTAAAAATGGCTTTTAGTCCCGGTTTTTGTTCATCCGAGACTATTGTGGTTTTTGCCCAACTCACGAAAGATGGTTTCTCTAGTAGTGAAAGAAGAACTGTATAACAAGAAGATGGAATATCGCAAGAAATGCTGAACAAAAATTTTCAGTTTTACCTTGCATCGTGGTAAACAACAAAAATTTGTTAAAAATTATGAAATTTTAATAATGTTAATACAATATTGATGAATAGGAGTATTTAAATACTTCAAACCAGCTGGGATTTGCGGCTCGAAATGGCTTTTGCCCTGGCGTGGCCCTCGCTGGGTGCCGACACGTCATCCGGCACTGGATTTTGGCTGGGTTTCGAGTCATGTGGTTGCTTGGTTCATACGCCGTTCGATCATCATCGTGTGGCTCTGGCAATCATCGATACGGGCAGTGCAATGGACCAATGGCAGACATACTCAACAAGGCCCACCATGGCAAGCGAATGGTTGACGAAAGAGCACGCAAGCAGGTGACCAAAAACACAAGCAGCTAATAAGTTGTTGCTTTGTTTTTGGGTGGGCGTGGTGTATGGCTCGCTCTCGCTGTTGCTGTGTACAGCCAGCCAGTGTTTGATGCACATAGTGAGAATATGTCCATGTCGTTCCCTTGTCCTTGTGTGACAACATTTTTTTTTGTTTATGGGTGGATTTTAATGGGTGCTTTGAAGACCACGTCTGTAGTGGGAGCACTGTGCACCCACTCCACTACTGCAAGAGTATGCAAGATGCTATTGGCTAGATTACTCCTGGTCTATTCGGTCATATCGTTCCTATACGGTGGACATTGCCTATACATCCTTCGTCTGTGTATTGTGGGCCCGAACTTTGTTCTAGTCCATTAGTGTTGGTCTAGGGATGATATATGCTACAGTTTACGTTATCGATTTTATTCGGTGCTACAGTTGAGTAGACACAGCTGTTTGGCTGATTGGTGGGCCGGTCTGCCATTGGACGCTTAGGTGCTTGTTGCTTATTGGTGGGTGTAAATTTGTAGGGTCTGAATTAATTTTTTTCCCTTGCTCCACGGCACTCTAGAAAATTGTTGCTTTCTTTTCATTTTTTCCTTCCCTTTCGCTTTTCCAGTCTCGTCGGTTTCTTCACATTTTCTGTTCTTCGTTTATTTCGTGCCAAAGCTCTATCCATTTTGCCTCTACTCAATCGTCCATCCATCATGGCAAGGTAAAAGTTGGTTCGATGCATCACCAAAAGTTTTGCTAAATTCCATCCAAAAAAAACTGATCTTGGGAATTCTAAATGAAATTTAATGTGTAAAATTTTTTATTCCTCCAAGAGATTAGGTAAGATTAAATCCCTATAACAAAAAAGTGAGTCCGATGTAAAGCTACCAATAGAAATCAGCTTAT